CCATTGATCAATACCATATGTATTAATTAAAACTGCTTGGGAGGGGGAGCACTTTTTCCCATGCATAATACTTTTCCGTTTTCTTCTGCATTATTTTCTTTGATGATATTTTTTTAGTTTTGCTCGATCGTCACTAAGTGTGTATAAAAATTGACTCGTTGAACTAAATATGATTCACGGGCAGGAACACTGTATTTAGCCTGCCTCCTCCGCAGGCCCTTACTATTTGTAGATCAGTGTATATATAGACATATCAGTTTAATATATAGATCAGTGGCTGAACAAATCTGTTGTGATGCATGCTGGGAAGACGAAAAAAATTAAAATAAGGCAACTCCTCCCCTTCCCATCGTCCCGCGCGCCCCATTAATTTTCGTCTTTTACTTTTGATAGCAAGCGACTGGGGACGAGGCAGGTATTTAGTGATCGATCTCATCGAAGATATTAATTATTTTCCATAGAAAAATATGTGTATTGAGCAACTGCATCGATCTTGAAGAGTGCAAAAATAGAATTCGTGAATAATTTTCGGTACATTTTATGAAATTAAATTATAAATGGTTGCAGTCGAATAATGTCTAAGGATAACACGATAATATACCTTACAGAACGCTAACTCAGCCAAGAAAGTGTCACCGCCACCACGCCATGATTCGAAATGAATCATGGCGTGGTGGCGTTGAATTCCTCTCGTAAGCGCGCTGACCAGGAACATGGCGACGGCATTGCAACCGGTACGCAAAAATCATAGACAAAACCAAGAATTCGGTCTTCTGTAAGCTATCTATTCTAAAGGTCATTCAGCAGGGAAATGAAATCTTTTAACCATACAGCCTATATATAGTTGTGTACATGTTATATAGGAGAGGTTATTGTAATGACATCAACCACTAGCTGTTACGCCTAAACTGATCATAGGCAAAACCAAGAGACCGCCTTTCTGTAACGACTGTAAGGTCTTCATTCAGTGCCTAAATGCCGTTAACATGTGCAGCAGGGAAATGAAATCTTTTAACTGTGTGAAAGCTATGTTCGCTAATTGTCTTATTATATTGAATCAGGAAAATCTGAAACCAAAATATTTTAAAAGACCGTATAGTATACCGATATGCTTATTCGCTATCCTTAGCAAGGAAGCTATTTGGTTAGAGTTTTTCACTTTTGCACACGATTTTCTTGCCTGTAACATGAATTTACAAATTCGGTTCTCATTAGCTTGTTCTGCCGGCATATTTAAAAATAATGAGTTATCATTACCGTATGACATTGAATACATTAGTATGTGATCAAGCTTTGTTTGAAGATGTTTTGGGCTAAAGCTTCAGCCAAATGAGATTATATATTTTTGAGTTTTGCAAGACAATCACCCATTATAATTTGCGGCAGAACAAAACAAAACTTATAAATAAAATCCTTTCTGCTTTATTTTTGCAATCTGAGGGAAAAGTCACACTTTAAGATGTTGATAACAATAATTAAAACCAACGATACAGCCTATATAGTTGTGTGCAAGTTATATAAGAGAGGTTATTGTAATGAAGTCAACCACTGTCTCTCACTTTCCATAATGGTAAACGCTTGATCAGCAACCAAGTACATGCACACTTCAATATACCTGCTTCACAATCCCTTTGTTTTTGCGGTGTATTGAAAAATCTTTATCAGTTGAAAGAAAGGCAATCAATATCGACAACACTGTATTATATTCATTTGTTGCCACGCACGATATTTTCCATTTTACTCTGCCGGATTTTTAAACCCTCTCTGATCTTTGCTCGATCATCACTCATCTGAGTGTTGTAGATGTAACTCATTGAACCAAATATGTTTCAGGGGCACATCTGAGACCATTTCTCGGTGAATCGTAAGATACGTGAGATACTCACGAATTTTCGATACAATATATTGATGCATCCACCTGCAAGAGTGCATAAATAGAATTCGAGAATAACTTCCGCTAAGTCTCATGGAATCAATCATGGAAATCTGCTTATATACATTATCATAACAGGCGGATGGAGCGGAGGTGGGGTCTTTTCTGCCATGCATGATATTTTTCCATCTATATGGTATATGCATGATATATGCACCCCTTAGTGAATACTGGATTTTTCCCAGATATTTTGCACAATGCGGAAATCAAGACCACTAATTATTAGGTTTATTGCTCAAAGAATTGGTTTTGTACCCAAGTATATATTAAGTTCTGAAAATTTATCACTAAATTTAATTATACGATTGCATTTTAATAACAGAATATCCTACAGATGGATGCATCTGTTGAAGTATGGAAAATTGATGGATATGTTTCACGGGTAATCAAATGGGTATACCCTGGCTTGTGCAATGTCTGGTGTTTCCAAACGGTGGCGTTTGTTTTCGTCAAATACGATATTTTCCAACCTAGGATTTTTTAATCAAATATGGTCTGCACAAATCTTTTTTGTGAAATGCAAAGTCCTCATCAAGCCTATCATGCATCAAGCAATTTTAGCGCATGAAGCGTAACTATTGTGTGGAAAATTAATGAATATTTTGCTGAAGTTCACCAAGTAACGTGTTCAACTGTGTCTAATGACAAACAAGTAACGTGTTCAACTGTGTCCAATAATGATCAACATACTTGAAACAAAGTGCATATTGAAACAATCTTTATTCTAGATGACGCGAATCACTGTCCGTATCACCTGGAGCATGGCATTGTGCGTGCATCAATATATGATTGCAAATCAACTTTGGGTGATTATATAAGCTGGGTGATTTTGCTACCTTTTGCACAAAAGTTCACAACACCTTGGCCAAGACAGTTCTTTACGATATCAGTCTTCGCAGAAAGCTAGGAATGGCTAACCTTTCCCTTCTGTTGGTTTTACAAGTCGTCCTCTTTGCGAATGGTGTAATGTAAGTTTCCTTGCTGTTTCCAGTATAAAATAGCAATCTTTATTTTAATACCTTTTGCAGCTTGTACAGTTGTGGAGTCATTATACTCGCAATCTATACTGTGTGTACAGTGTACATTTTGTACCTCAATGATTATCATACATATTTCTTTAAAACTAATCAATTCATTCATTTTATTTGTAGTTCAATACATGTTCGTCCTTCAAAATTTGACTTTGGCCATTTGGCCCGCGAGCTAGATGAACAAGATATCTTCGGACAAGATGAAAGAGGGGTACCACATCTTGACTTAGCAAAGTTCTTCGATAGAATAAACGACTTTGCAGACCAATCAGCGATGAAGAAAGAAATTGAAGAGGACTCGGAATATCATCCATGGAAGAAAGAAGACGTGGAGAAGCTCACCAATCTCGCCATGAACGATGAGAATGTGGTGTCAGAAGCTCCAACAGAATGTAAGTAAACTTTATCAATATTCGATTTCTATGTTCAGAATATAAATGTTACAGTGTTGCAACAGTAGGTATGCCTAAAACTGCATCCAGTTGTTTTATATTTTGATATTATGAATACAGTGTGATATATAGCTTTTAGCTTTATTACGTTTGTAAGACCAAAAGAAGCCACCGACGCCTAATTAGCATCGACTCATGCGTTCATACGTGTAACTATAGAAGTGCAGGAAATGATATGAAATGATAATAATGAAGGCCTTTTTGCCTTGAGTGTAAATTTGATACATTTATTAGACCTAACTCGGAGCAGCTGCGAAATATGCAACTATACGCCATCTGGCATGAATCGAACCTGCGGTCCTGCGATTCTGGTGCAGCGCACTATTCACTAACCAACAGATCCAGTTGTCGACCTTAAACCACAAGTTCATGTACATATACAGCTATTTCAATTAAGGTTGTCATGTTAATTGTACATTCCAAGGCGCGAACAGCAACATTTTTTCTAATTGTTATTTTTAGCTGTTTATGGTAGCCTATGACCATAGCTCCTTTTTGTTTTTCTTGCAATTCCCAGGGATATACATGATTTGTAATACATTTCATGCACCCTATAAAATATCTTATTCCATTAAACTCGAGCGATATGTTAATAAGCGTAGCTTATTCCCAATATACTTTTGGTGCTTGGATTGTACATTTGACTATTATTTGCTTTTGACAACCTTAATTGTAGCCTGTATATACTAACTAAAGGTGATGCCAATGAGGATTTTGGGCATCTGAAAATGTATATTAAAATTTATCCTAATAAAGACTATCTCATATTATTGACAAATTCGTATTTGTCAGTGATTCGTATGAGGTATTGATTTTGACTGAGGTTGAACGCACTTCCCCCCACTCCACCCCCTGCCCTCCGAAAGAAAATAATCTTTGGTGGCAATGTTCCAGCAAGAATCAGTCGTAAAGGGCAACTAATTTGTGGTCACAAGTCGCAGTCATTAACTCGTCATCCGGTCAGTCTAATATCAGACTATCTGATATTTATCAACACTCGTGGAAATTGGGAAAACGAGAAATTGTGTGGAAACACGACGCCCGAAGGACGGAGTGTTTTCACACAATTTCGAGTTTTCCCATTTTCCACGAGTGTTGATATAACTATATATCAATACGGAAAAAAGTTTTATATTTGTTTTATAATATAGCACAAAGAAACATAAAGAAAGAAATTTTCCGACGTTTCCGTGTTGACATTGAGTTATATCAACACGGCTCTTAGCCAATCAGCGTACATAATTTACAAATGCTATATTATAATAACATTTATTTACATGACATTTTTTATTATATAAATTACTTGCTTACAGTACAATGAGAACACGAACTAACTTTGTATATGCTGGTTATTTGCAATAAGTTAAAAAATTGCATCAATGGTTATGATTAGTCAGCTTTTAAATCCCATGGGCATGCACTATAACTTTGCTTAATAGAGTTAATTTCTTTTATGTCATAATTGGCATTTTGAAACTAATTCATCTCTCAGGAAGTTGCATCTTTGGCGCTCATGCAGAAATAATAAAATTCTAGAGCATTAATTGTAATGATAGTCAATCCAGACTGATTTTTATGAAACTTGTGCACAGTACCATCCAATGGCATCACCTCGTCGAATCACTCAACCGTACTGTTGAATGTTCATGTGCAAAATTGCAAAAGACTTCATCACGATTATATCGTCTCAACATAAATTCGTAGCTCAGTATATGACACTTTGAAATTTACCGAGTTTCCTGCAGACCATATCTCGATATGACCATAGGGCGGAGTTTGCTTCGTTGGCCATTGGCACGTTCAAAATGCTGTCATTTTTCATCATTCAAAACGGAAAATCCTCAATTTTTTCCACAAGAAAGAGTAAAACAGTTAAGATTGTCGACAGAACAAGGAAAAAAACTTGAAGGCATTTCAATTGAAGCTATATATTCGGTATATGATGAAATAACAACTGTTCTTGGTTTTTGCACATGAAGTTAGCCCCCATTAGCAAGCTTAGAAATGTCCCTTTCGTTTGACTAAATATCCCGCCTCTATTCTGCCGCCTCTATTCTTTTTATAATCTCTGTGATATCACCACTCTACAGGGTGTCTAAAAAGAGGATCATTTAGAAATTTATCGTATTGTTATAATTCGACTGCCTGAGCCTATGTCTATGCTGAACCCACGGATGTGTAAATTTTGACAGCTTGCATATATTAAAAAAGGAGACCTTTAGATATTAAAGTATCCTTGTTAAGCACAAGATTTTCTGCTCCTGGGAATTTAAAATTTGGTTTAGAAAACGCGAGAAATGCAGTCCTAGAGCTTCAAAAATGTAAAAAATTTCAGACCCCCCTTTTCTTCCGAAACTTAGTATGACAGTGCAAATCAATCACAAAAAGCTTTATCAATAATTATTACATATCAGGCCGTAAATTTGTAACGTTGAAGTTCAAATTTCAGGTGAAATCCTCCGACATGCATCCCCTCCCCCCCCAACAGCACCTAATTCATATGTTGAACGAAACCAAAAACTTTCAAATAACTCCATGCATAAAATTCGATTGAATTGTGTTTACGCACCCACGGGTTCAGTATAGTACTCAGGCATTCAAATTATAACAATAAAGTGAATTTCTAAAGGTCTCCTTTTTTGACCTAATTTTATGCAGGACTCTAATTCTCTAAACATATATGAAATATGTTTTTCGGATATTCTGATTGATTGATTGATTGAAATGCTGTTGTGAAAGTATTTTAAAAATTAGGTGCACGTTTTGTCTAAAATTGAAAATAGGGAGACAGTCTTTTAGTTGCCATTGAACAAAAACCCGATATTCAAACATAATTATTTTATCTTAGTATTGGAAGAATTGATGGACAACAATGTCATAAACAAGGCTTTGTCTATAGCTGGACAGACGCAGAAGGAAGGTGAGATCAATATACAACTAATCCATGCAGTTTTGCCTAGCTTGCATTATAGCAAGATAGCTTGCAGATGAAAACAGCACTAGGCTTGTGCAAGTATTTATAGAGGTATTTACTTATAGGAATTACGCCTGGTGTTGTATTTAGGAGCTTATAATTATGTATTGCGGGATGAATGTCGGATGAAACGAGGATGAGTGTGCATAAGAGTTAGCAATCACGCGACCTTGGTTACCGGTTCTTAATGGACGAGTTATAAATTGCGTTTCCCAAACGAAGTTTGGCATCGCTTTATATTTGTTGCGTGAGTTTGTTAACCTGTTAGTTTGTTAGTCTGTTAATTTATTAGTCTGTTAGTTTGTCCGGAATCATAAGCATTGGTCTTCGCGCGAGAGAACCAGAGAGGTGTCTGGTTATGAAACTTTGAGCAATGCTTGGTATGCCTTAGTTTGGTACATTCCATTTTCGTGATTCGGTGTGAATTGATAAGTTGAAAAAAAGAAATCAAATTAGGTCAGCGGCAATAATTGGTGGTCCCATCGTTGTCATGTCCTATGTGTAAACTTTGCGCAGATCGAGCTCTTTAGACTATATGCCACCTAGCTGAGAAGTTTTGTTCTGTTCTCTCATTTTAACCCCTTAATTTTACAGCCTTTTTTATCAATTAATTTAATAAATAATGTATTTAATTTAAACTTTAGATGAATGCCCAGTTGGTACAATATACACTTATATGAGGAGTGGTAAATTGAAGAAATGTTTCAATTTGACCATTGCAAAGATTGTAGTCAGACTTCTGAAATACAAACTGACTTCACCATTGGAAAATCCGCCTGAATTCCCGACAGAGACAAATAATTTGATCGAAGCAATAGCAGCTCCCGTACTGAATCAGCCGTCTGCTCTAGTTGTCGTAAATAGTTTGATTGAAGGCTTGAAAACCTACAATATTAAGAATCCATTCACGCTTACATGGCCATTTTTATGGCTAGGCAATGCTTTACGAAATAAACAGCTATCACTCCAATATCTTGCACCTGGAAACGTGCCAAACTTGACTACCTATGATGGATACGCGGCGTTCTTGGATGAATATAGAGAAAAACAAAGAGTAAGATCACTTTTTGATCATATTTACATGATCAAAACGTTGATTACGTTGATCATATTTACATGCTAATTTGCGCTACATAAGTTTTAATTATTATTATTATTCAACATACCATGGAGTTTTCTTGATGCTGAGTGTATAGTAATACCACAACGGGCAGGCTGAAAAGTTAGCCTGACCACGGTGGGAATCGAACCCACTTCCTGTGGGATACTAGTGTGTAAACTAGTATCCCACAGGAGTTATGGAATGGAATTTTGAAACTTTGGGACCCGGTGTGGATATACACTCAGAGTAACATCAAAAACATTATATTCACCCGAGTACATAACATCAAAAAACACACACAAAAATATCATACCATGTAGTTGTTTTATTTTTGTGACCGTTTTGTGGAAAATAACAGCTGGTATATTCTATTTTTTATTTTCTATAGAAAAGAATTATATTTATCACCATGACAATTCCTGCAAGGAACCTATCCCATGCATCCTAATTTGACTTTCGTTCCTTCGTCTTAATTTCAGGGAAAACTATTTGGTATCTTCCCGGTGAAGAATTTTATCCACTATCCGTTGGTGGAGGACCCATCCTTTGAAGACATCACCTGGTCAAACAGATGGCAGAGTGACGAGGTGTTCACGCAGCAAAGATTGGCAGGATTAAACCCGATGTCTTTGAGAATCCTGTCCTTGAATGGTATGGAATATTCAATATGAAATATTCCAATGTTCAAAATGTTGTCTTAGGCAATATTCCAATGTTCAAAATGTTGTCTCAGGCTTTTTACCTCACCCGTATAGATGTGTATAACACATTCATAATTTACATTTATACAAATATATGTCACCATTGTAAGCCCTGGACGAACCAGAAATTAAACATGCATTGTTACATAAACATTTGAAAATTATGATAATTCTCCGTTTGTCTACCTGGACAAAAAGACATTGTTGAAAGTTTTTATGTTTCCGCCGTTTGCGGTCTTGGAAGCATTGTTGCAGAGACAAGATCTTCGTCCTACTAGCAAAAATGTCCCTAAACAAATTTAAAAACATATTTTGATTCCAAGTTTTATTTTCGCCGCTGAACGGTTGCTGTAAGAAATTCTTGTTTGTCCAATTTGGATGAACATGCAAATAGTCGGTCTCTACAAAAATATTTGCCTAACTGCAGAGATTTAGCATTCGTTTCTTAATTTGGTACCATTTGTTTTTAATTTTAGATTCGATTATGGATTCCTTTAACCAGTCTTTTAACTGGGACGAAGCAATGAGAGAAGTTTCAGGCATTTCCTTTAATGAGGTGAAATGAAAAAGAGGGTGAACGTTCTTGTGTTGGGTACACCATGATTGGACATTCGGTGTTATATCTATGCATGTTTTGTCAAGTGTACGCTTTCTTTCCTGCCTTGAGTATATTTTGGCATCTCACTATAAACATCCTGTGGCGATGCTGCAATTTTGTCATGCATGTAAACAAATGGCTGCAGTGCATCATGGGACTGAAGACATATTTATTTGCAAACGTTGCAGATAAACTAAATGTCTCTTACATAATTAACAATTCTTCTTGATGTTTTTGACTGCCGGTTTTGACGAGAATAATGAATTAGCAGGTATTCTGCTCTCAGTGTAGGTTATAAAATTACTCTCTTTGAATTATTCGCCTTTGTCGAACACCATAGCACCTTTAAATTAAGGAGGAAAAAATTACACCACTAATACGCGCTTTATTTTTAGATGGTTAACAGTGGAAAAGTTTTTGTTCTGGATTATCCATTACTTCAAGGTATTACCAACATTGAAGATATAGAAGTGAATGATCCAAACCGCAGACCAATGAGGAAAACAGTCAGCCCGATTACCGTGTTTGCCTCAGTGCCTGGTAACAATGCTTATACTGGAAAGAGCGAGAATACTTTAAAACCTGTGGCAATTCAGATGGACATGAATAAAGGTATGGTGGAGGTCATTGTCTTTGTAATTTATTTTCTGCCTGAGGCAGGACAGATGTTCTACCTTTGCATGAAAATGTGTGCTCGTTGGTCCATCAATATCACTATAAAAGTTATAAGAAATAGAGAATCTCTATCAATTCTCAACTTTTATCAAGAATATGATTACAGCAGAGTGGTAGCTAACTGGGTGGGCCGGCACTCGTGAAAATTCGTTAAAAAAGGAGTCTGCAACGAAGCATACGCTTTGAAGAGTGCTGGAATATAGACAAAATAATCAAAACAGCATATTTGGCTGTGTACCGGATGACTATATCATGCGTCCTTTATCGCATCACTTCGTTCGACACGTTCCAAGAAAAATAGTGATTTCTTCAGCCCGGATGATCTAGATGAAATTGTTCGCAATTTCTTTTGAACTAGTTCAGTGACTAAAGAAGAGTCGACTATTACAAGAATGCCTTGCCTTGTTTTAATCCGCTTTCTGACAAACTCTTTTCAAACCTATTTTGTGACGCACCTCAAATACCTACACTTACGTACTTTAATAAATTTGGAAAACAAGGGGCGCACAAAGACCGCCTAGTTAGTTGGTAGGCAAAGACGATCATAGAGAAAGTGATAGTATTTTCGCATTGGAATGTATATCTTTATAAGATATAATAGCAATGATACTAGCAATTCCACTGGTCCAGGTAAAGGTGGACGTTACGTCCAACCTTCCCTGAGATTTCAGCGCCTCTGTGGAAAACACACTATAAGTTTTTCACCCACAAATTGTTTCACCCACAAGCTTTTCTCAAATTACTTTCAATGATGCAGATGCTGCTGTTCTGACACCGAATAATGGCAGTAAATGGCTGATGGCAAAAGAAGAAGTTCAACGTGCAGACATTGTCTATGTGGAAATAATTGAGCATCTTTTAAAAACACATCTTCTTATGCAACCAATTTGCACCATCATGCACCGAACATTTTCCAAGTTGCATCCTTTGTATCAATTATTCCACCCACATTGCAAATACCTTGCTGTTACTAACAGTGTCGGGGTTCCTGCTCTCTTTGATGAAAATGAATATCTTCATATTCTCTTCTCTATTGGTAATACCGGCTCCATCAATCTCCTCAACAAAGGATACAAAGAAATGACGTGGGAGGATACAAATTTCGAGGAAAATCTTAAGGTAAACACAAATTAAACTAAAACCCAGGTCAAACGAGAATGAGAATTGGAAGTCACGAGTTGTTACATGGGACTTTTCAAGCTCTGATATAACAATTTGAAAAAGGCATTAATAATTCATAAGCGTGTCGTATCTTTATGTAATATATGAACAACGAGAGCGAGTGTTTCACCGGGATATCCAAACACGAGAAAACAATGTATGAAAACACGAGCGCGAAGCGCGAGTGTTTTCATACATTGTTTTCGAGTGTTTGGATATCCCGGTGAGACACGAGCTCGAGTTGTTTATATGGCTTCTCAAATGAATCGAGACGTAACAGAATGTTTTCGTTTGCTGATTTGAATAGAATTCTTAACCAAGCATAACGTAATTAGGAATTCTATTCAAGTAATTTTGCATGCGTAATTAAGATATTTGATGAAAACACTAGTGACTTTCATCAAGTATCCAAATGACATCTTGTGATCAAATAGATGATTATCATTGGCTGAATTACTCATGAATTATTAATGAATTTGAGAAATGTTGATAGAGATTTCCCTTGATTTACATAAACATTAACATTGATTTTCTCGACTTACACAACGTATTTTTTGAAAATTACTTCGCCAATGAACGTACTAGATCGATCGTTTTTGAAGCAATTTAAAACATTCGCAGTGCGCGTTTTATCAGACCTAAAAATACTCGGCTTCGCCTCGTATCTTTATATCTGATAAAACGCTGCTGCTCATGTTTTAAGGTTACAGGACACCCTTTTTTGCGTTTTGCGGAAAACCGCTACTGCGCGCTCAATATCAGTCCGATTTTCATCAAATTTTCACCAAATGTTCGCCAGTGCATGCAAAATATGGTAAAGTTGTAAAATTGACAAACAATAAAATAATGTAAGAATTATTCGGGAAAATCTTAAATCGCGGTACCTTTACGCTTTTGAGTTGTTTCCTGCTTTTAAGATATATTTATGAAAATATCATTTTTATATTATACAGTAAAATAGTTGTTCTAAAAATTGTGTTCGGAAATTTTTGTTTATTTCGTCATTCCGCTGATATGGCGATTTCTTTGACGACTGCAATACATTTCTGAATCGTTTGAGTTAATAATTGCTCCTTATTATTAAAAATTTCAAAATTAGAATAAAGCCCAACACAATTTTGAAACTGACGTCTTTAGTTATATCCTGTGAAAATTTGAGAAAAAATTCGTTAAAACCCGCAGGAGAACAACTCGTTTGAAAATCAGTAATTGCCGTAACTCTTCGGGAGAAATTGAATTTGAATATTACATTTTCAATGTTTTTCTTATTGCAAGCGAAATGTATTTTAAATAACTCTGCGAGTTTTCAACATTTTCCGTTCAAACTTGTTCAAATAGTAGAACTAGTCTGATGCTTTCATGGAAACTAATAAAAAAATGTTAGGCAAAATTAACACTCAATGCCAATGGTGTTCTGTAATCTTAATTAAAAAAATCATTAATAATTCATGAGGAAAATACAAAACGTCAAAAGAAACGAATATTTAATCAATGTTTGTAAATCGGATAAAGAGTTGTCCTGATTTACATAAACTTTAGCTTTGATTTTCTCGGCTTAGACAATGTTTATTTTTAAAATTGCTTCGCCAATGAACTCATAAGATGGGTCGTTTTTTAAGCACGTTAAAACATTCGCATCCGAATCGGATCTTTATCTGATATACAAACACTCGCCTTCGGCTCGAGTTTGTATATCAGATAAAGATCGGCTGCTCATGTTTTAACTAGCACATAGTACATAAAGATTTGATAAGTATCCTAACTAAATATTCCAATTCTCATACACTCTCATCCTCGTTTGCCCGGGACTTACAACTACATAAACTGAGGTAAACTTAAGGGGGTCCCTACAGTAGCACGTTGGACGAGTACGCGGACTATCCTACGCAACCGCCACGTCAAAACAAAACAAAACAAAACAAAACAAAACAAAACAAAACAAAACAAAACAAAACAAAAATTGGCCGGGCCTTTTTTTAAAGAAGTGTTAATTCTGAAAGATTTGTAATGAAAAAAGCGTTGAATAATCCTTGAGTCCAAACACCAATTTTACATATGATACTAATATCATATTTGCATATGATACTATAACCAGTATCGGCCAAAAAACTATAGCCACAAAGCAATCGGCCAATGTTTTTAATTTTTTTAAAAATATACACTGTCAACTACGTGTAAAATATTTTCTAAATTGTACAAAACGTTTAATGGACGTTTAAAAAGTACTTTAGAAATACTTTCGTGTTTCTAGAATATTAAAGCGATTAAACTGAAAAATATCTCAGTTTCATAGCAAAACGCCTTGACCTTGTTAATTTTTAGGGTATTGAAAGGGGCACTTTAGGGTATTGAAAAGGGCACCTAAAAAGTTTTTCCCGGAAATGTTGGCGACGGTGGGAGAGAAAAATTTCCCCGTCGTACCATAACGAAATTGCACGTTTTTGACCAAATCAGTTTAAAAAAACAACTTGGAAAAATCCAAACAAAAAGGGCACCTTTGATGTTAATTTACTATTTATTTACAGCGACATTAGCTTGTACAAAAAGGGCACTTTTCATCACAAAAAAGGGCACTTTTCATCACAAAAAAGGGCACTTTTAGACCTTTGAAAAAATTTGGGGGAGGCACGTACAAAGCAAATTTACTATCATTCGTCAAAAAAATTATAAAAAGTCGCTGTTATGTGGACTTATCTCGCAGACCTCGGCTGAAAAGCCACCCAAAAATGGCGGCGTGAGAAATGCTAATTAGCTTCAATCATGTTTTTTGTTGGGTTTTTTTATAATAACAATTTAATAAAATACCGATTTGTAACCTTTAGGTTAAATTACATCAGTAAAAAGTCTCATTATACTACAATATGAATATCTAAATGCATAAAATTATTCATAACTTCAGTTGAAAAAGTTATAGAGTTCAAATTTAAAAATATTAAAATTATGGTCTATTCATATGTGAAACCATCTGTGGAAAAAACGATTTCATAAATCTGTCCGTTTTACAACTATAGTTATTATAATCGCTTCCATAACGTATATTATAGTTATGTTCAAGTTTAGGCGGTAAGAGGTCACCCAATTTGTCTCCATGTGCATTTTTAACAAAAAAACGTTCGCATAATAATCGCCGCCGATCTTTCAGTAAGGGTATACCAGTAATACTGCAAGCTTCTCTGTAAGTAGCGAATGGCAAGACAATACGCAGAGCCCGCTTCTGGAGTTTTTCGCCGATATCTTCACTTAGGTATTCTGTAATATTGAAGTGCCAAACTTGGCAGGCATATTCGAGTACTGGTCTGATAATGGTGCAGTATACCAAAATTAGAATGCTATTGTCGGCATTTGATCGTTTTAACAACCTTAGCATATAAAGGCGTTTTCCCGCTTTTTTAACAATATGGTTCACATATATTCTTTCATCAATTTGATCCTTCATCTATATGGCACTTAAATAAATCGAATAGTTGACAAAAACAAAACTGTAAAAACATTGCCATTCAATTTTGCTGGATGAAAGCTCGTTCTGCGCCCACGTACAATCTTTCACTAGTCAGCGACCATAGGCGTACCGGGCGGGGGGGCGGGGGGGGCGGTAGCCCCCCCCCCAGTTTTTTGGGCAGTCGGGCAATATTCGATCAACAGTCGGGCAATTTTGGTTTGCAATAAAAAAAATGGGACAAATTCTGCCAATTTTGTCTAAAATGAAGTCAATTTTTTGGCAAATTTTGCGATTTTTCGAAAATTTGTGTTATGTTCCGAAAAATATTGGTTGTCCGGAAAATTTTTTGACCCCTAAAATGGTACACTGACCGAAATTTTTTTGGCGGGAATTTCGCGAGTTACACGAGGGTATTTTACAACTTGAATGGCATTTTACTCATTATTTTCATTGCGTATCGGTAACCTATCTCCAAATTTTGAACACAAATTTTAATTTTAGTAAATTTTATATATTTCAAATTTTAAAAAATTTTTACAGTGGAAATCGTTTTCGCTTTTAAAAAAATTGCACTGTAAAGATTGTTAAATTTATTAGATTTTCTCAAGATTTTTAGATTTTTTCATAAAAAAGATAGATCATCGACTTAATTTTTAAATAAGACAATGTTGTGGATAAAATAAGCAGGTTTTCCATATTGCCTCCAAGTAGAAAGAATGCACAATCTGCATTAAGGCCCTGTTACACGGTGCATGCAACTTGTCTCGCAAAGATTTTGACTATTGCAAGGCATGTTAAACGGTGCAATGACTCGTGCAACTTGTCTCGCAACGCCATTGCGAGACAAGTTAGTTGCATGAAAAATTGCACCGTGTAACAGGGCCTTTAATAGGCCTGTACTGCAGAGATATTGGGCAAATAGGCACAACTGTGGGGAGATACCTTAACTTAACTGGACTAAAATGACTTTATTTATATGATTGAAAAGTAAAAAGGCTTTTCACTCCAACATGGACATATTTCTGAAAAAATTGAGAACTTAATTACCGAACAGCTTGAAATGTAGTAAATGTATCTAGCATCCAAAAGCATACTCGTAGTAGAACAAGCATGCAGCCATGCAGGTTTCAGGAAGAAGCACTCTACACAAACGTCCCTACTTATAACATTACAAATTAATGGTTAATAAATATGGACAAGGGCTGTTTGAATGGTATTATCTTTCTGGACCTCGAAAAGGCGTTTGATTGCGTTGACCATAATATATTGGTTTAGAAAATGTATTATTATGGAATAAGAGGACATACACTTACCTAGTTTCACTCATATCTGACTAATAGATTCAAGTATGTAAAGTAGACCAAACAATGTCCGAAACAAGAACTGTTAAGTGTTCATAGGATCCGTTGTATTTTATTATTAGCGAACCTAAGCAAGGTATACGCCCGTTTTATAATCATATTAATGCAACAAAATGAGCAGAAATAAACAATTAAAATCCCATTGAAGTTTTAGTTTG